CGGATGTGTTCCGACGGACACAAAAATCCGTCGGAAAAAACGAAATTTCCGATGGATTTCAATTCCGTCGGAAATTTCCGACGAATTTAGATTTTCCGTCGGAATTTAAATCTGTCGGAAAATACTTAGTTTCTGACGGATTTTCCGTCGAAAAATAATTAATTTCCGACGGATTTCAAATCCGTAGGAGATTTCCGACGGAATTTACCCCCTTTCCGACAGAATTGTGGTTTTTTTTTTTTTTTAAAAAAAAAAGCAAACCCTAATTATTAAACGGATCCCCTCCCCCTTTCATTTATCATTTCTCTCTCCTCTCCTCTTCTCTCTCTCCGCCTCTCTTTTGATTTTCTCTCCTCTCCTCTTTCCTCTTCTCTTTCCCTCTGAACTCCTCTCCTCTTTCCTTATGTCATTTCTCTTTCTCTTTCCTCTTCTCCTTTTCCCTTCTCCTTTTCTCGTTCTTTCCCCTTCTCCTTTTCTCTAGTCCTCTCATTCTCCTTCTCTCTCTTTTGGATCTCCTCCTTGTCTCCTCTTCTTCGATCTCCTCGTTCTCTCCTCTTCTTTCCCCTCTTTCTGATCACCTCAACGGCGACACCATCACAATAACAACGACACCACCATCGCACAACAACAACTACGACTCCACCAATTTTGAAGGTTTTTTTATAGATCTAGGTTAGATTGTAGATCTTTTTTATTTCTTTAAAAAACAATTCTGATTGTAATTAATTTTTGATATAATTGTAATGTATTTTATTAATTTCAGAAGATAATTGTATATTTATTTATTTTGTTTGATTTTGATTTTTTTTGTTTATTTTTTCCGGATCTTTGTGAATGTTTATGGTGGTGGTGGGTGGCTTTATTTATATTCTGAATTTATTTTGTGTGGGTGTTTTTTTATTTTGGGGGTTCGGATGGTGAGGTGGGTGGCGGTGGTTGGTAGATCTGGGCGGCGAGGTGGATTCGGTTATGGGTTAGGGTGGTGGGGAAGGATTCGGGTGGGTTCAGTTAGGGTGGTGGGAAGGATACGGGTCAGGGTGGTGGGTGGGTATTTCTGGGCAGGTGGGGTGGGTTCGCTTTGGTTAAGGTGGAGTGGGGTGGGTTTGGTTTGGTTAGGGTTAGGACTTAGGAGGTGGGTCAGGTTTGGTTAAGGTTGGTGGTAGGGTGGTTCGGTGAGAGTGGTAGTGGTGTTGTTAGGGTTGTTGGGGTGGTGGTGGTGCGTTAGGGTTTAGTTTGGGTGCGTTAGAGTTAGGTGGGGTGAGGGTGGGGTTGACAATGGGTTTTTGGGTGGCCGAAGGTGGTGTCAGGTCGTGCCGGTGGTGGTGCGGCCTGTTTTTTTTTTTTTTTTAATTTAATTGCACCGGTTTCTGACGAATTTATATTCTGTCGGAAATTTCCGACGGACTTTTCCGGTGCAGGAATTCCTCTTCCGACGAAACAATTACAACGGAATTTCCGCCGGAAATGTTTTCCCGACTGAAATTCCGTCGGAAAAGTTCGTTTTCCGACAACCGGTTCCGACGGAATTTCCGTCGAAAATGAGTTTTTCGACGAATTTCTGGGTGATTCCGACGGAATTTTTCCGTCGGAAATGGTCTATTTTCGAGTAGTGAGGCAGAGCAGAAGTAGCATTGCAACAGCAGGCAGCATAACAGAAGTAGCATAGCCACATCAAGCCATGGCAGGGCATCAGCTGCAGCAGCAACCTTGGCAGGTAAGCAGCTGTAGTAGCGGCAACATCCTTGGTAGTGCAGCAACTGCAACAGTAGCAGCCTTGGCAAGGCAAGAGCAACAACCAAAGAAAAGCAAAATACATACCAAAGTTCATATTCTAAACGAAATAACAATAGATCAAACTCCCAAAGAAAAGCATGAGATCAAAGTGAAGGCATTTCAGTATAAAGTAAATAGAATAATACAAAAAGTAAATACAAAAAACCCTAACAAGTCAATAAACAAGAAATCTTTGCAAGCTAGAAAAAATACTCACATCATGTGCAGCCTCATGTATCTCACTGTCTGTCATAACACCATCTGGAAGGTTGAAAGAGACTAATCTTCTCTCTCTGTCAGCAAAATTCCTATATGCAGTCTCAATAACATCACTTAAGTATGATTGTTGACCTCCTTTTCTACAAACCGGATATATATCTTTCTGGACTTCTCCTTGACCAAATGATGCTTTTGCTTCACTTGCAATTCTTTTTATTACTTTCTCATCTGTCCAATGTTTGATCAAGGGCAATGTTGTTGGTTCAGGCTGCCCTCTAAATGAAAGGTGATGAAAGTACACAATCTAAAGAATTAGGACACATCCACTAATTCCTGTTCTTGATACTTTATGCTTGTTTTTCTTGAAGCTCCCCACTGCTTTGCACAAGTTATTGAGTACATAACCACATCAATCCAGGTTACGTATTTCTTTTACATTGTCTGCATAGCTGATTATCTTATAATCTATCACTCTATTTGCAATAGGGGCCAAGAATGTGCTGCAAACATACATCACAAAGAACCTTTTAAAATCATCACCTCCTTCCTTGAGACTCTTTATTTTATTCTCCAAATTATTCACAAAGATGTCATTGCTTTCTGCAATTCCTAACTTCTTCTTCCACTCATTCTGAATCATGATGTTTGCTATAGGTTACTTCCTTAACTGATAAGTCAACTTGTTCTTTGTTACATTTGAAAGCAAGAAAACATCTTGAACATCATAGAAACTTACAGAGAACTCCTTCATCATGTCAATCTTGAGCATACAACTTTTTTCATTGAAATGATGACAAAGCCATGGAAGCATTTTTGTTGAAACTTTTGTCAGTTTTAGTTCAAGCAAGCCCTTAAATCCAACACTTATAACATCTGATCCGCTGTCTCTCAATGAAGTCCTTGATAATATTAAATATTGCATTGGGTTTGTAGTGTGTTTTCTTGATGTCTAGATTACCACCATCATTGTCACTTCCTTCTTTAACCTCTATAACTTCTTGTACCTCTTTATCTGAACTGTCAAGCTTCATTTTCTTCTTTAAATGAGCTTTAATTTCAGCCTTTGTTCTTTTTTTGGTTCCTATATTTTGTTAAACTAGAAGATATTAAAACATTTACTTTTAAAATTAAAATATTCAAGAACAAACAACCTAATTCACAACATATCAATCTAACTTTAGAACCTAATACAATAAACTTTTATAAACCTTATGAAGGTTCTAGTTCCTTAAGCCTTCTCTTTATCAGTATTTGCTTTTTTGAAATCCCTTGAAGTTTAGCACCTAATACAGTTAAGTTTAACAATGAGTTTCTGTTAATACAAGGAGTATATAAATACAAAATATGTTAAATAACTTTAAATACACATATATTTACTTTATAAGCATTTTTATTTACTTTATTAAACATATCATTTACTTTTTGTATTCAATCATGTAATTGTATGCAAATTTTTAGGGTAAAAAATACCCCAACACGTGGCCCAATCCCATAGAGACACGTGGCTCAATTAAAGGGCGACACGTATCCCTATAGGAAGATGACACGTGTTAAGCATAAATAACACCTGAAATGAGAGAAAATGGCCTCCTTACATCAGGAGGCCCAAATCCTGAGAAAGTCGCAAAACGGCGCCCCATATGGACACGTGCCTTCACCTGATTACGCCGCCAATCAGAGCACGTCATCCTAGGTTATCAAATCTTAGAGGGCACACTTTTCCACCGCTATAAATACCCCAATCATTTTATGATGGGAGGGGTGGATTAAGACATATCATTCTATGAGCATTGAAAGCTCCAACTTCTCTCTACTTTCTCTCTCTAAATTTATTCCATTTCCGGTCACTAACTTGATCGTCGGAGGCGAATATTCCGTCAACCAGAATATTTGTTGTTTTGCAGGTGTCCGCGTCCATCCGGCCGTGTTCAATACCCATATCCCGAGGGATTCCAAAAATCCTCAAAACAACTTTCATTTAACTATTTAATCAAGTTCTACTTTGTTGATAGTGATTATTAATGAGTAACTTCATACAATATATTAATGAATAGATGATTTCATTTTTTTTTCTCTTTAATTAAGTGTGCATAAATTCTATCTACTCCATTTTTTTTGTGTTTTAAATTAATAGATTATCATTAAGTAATTATGTGTAACTAAGTTTAAAGTTTTATTTATATATACAAAGTACATTTGTAATAATAAGATAGATTATAGAAAGTTGTGTTTATGTTTTTTTTTTCCAATGTAATCCAAATCCCTTTTTATTTACCATCAAATTGTTTGAAGACTAATAATTATTTAACTTTATGATAAGGTAATAGATTCTTATTTATCAATTATTGGATTACATAACGAATTGGGGTTTACAAACAAACATTTATTAATTTGTTGGATAATTTTCTTAATATACGATGAACATTTTTACTCCTCTTTTGCCATATAGGAATAATTGTCATACGATTTCAAATAAATATTAAACAATGTATGTGATGTATATTTTTCTTGAGATTTTCGTCGAAACATTGAACTTTCGAAATTTGTCCCTCCAGATTAGAAATCCTAGCACCGCCACTGGCTCTAAATTTGTTTTCTTAGTTCATAAAATAATGTCAAAATAGATTCATATGGGTTTCCAACTTACCTTAAAGTATAATACACGACAACTCTTCAAAACTAAAAGTTGTGCTTTGTTATAGTGTGTGCGCGTAAATTGTAGTGCCAAATTGCCAATGTACATCCTTTGCTCGCCCCACGCCCCATAGGCTCACACACGGCTAAACACCTAAATGGTCAAGTACGGCAGAGTTGAATCAAACTAAGTCGTCGTAAGTGTATGCCTAATTAAGGAAACATACCTCATGAAGCCATGATCGTCTGAACAAAACCCGTAAGTTTGAAAATTCGGTTCTACAAATACCCGGCTAAAGTAAACAGGGTCAGCAGATCGGGTATTTTTAAACACTCATAATCAAACAAAGTGCTTTAAATAATAATAAATTTTAGCCACACCTTTAAATATCTATACCAATCATCTTGTAAATCGAACATAACAATCTAGTTCCACTCTAATAAAGTAAGATTACAAGAAAGATCTTAATATTTCTCAAACTTAATATTAGTCCAAAGATGGTTGGGGGATTATTTTACAGAGAGTTGTTACCATTTGCAGCAATGATTGTTCTTGAATTTGGGAACGTTGTGTTAAATACTCTGTTTAAAGCAGCAACACTGAAAGGGATGAGTTATTATGTTTTTATTGTCTATTCTTATGCTATTCCTGCTTTCATACTCCTCCCTTTTCCTTTCTTCTTCAGGTAATTTTATTACTACTCTCTATTTTGTATTTTTTTTTTATCAGTATTAATTATAAATAATTAGTAGTATAATCAATTGGAAAGGTTGATTTTGATGCTGTAATTATCTAGGTTATGAATAGATTGTGATTTTTAATTCATGAATATGCAGAAGATCTTTGCTTCCACCATTAAATTCCAGGATTATTGGCAAATGTTTCATTCTTGGAGCAATTGGGTATGAGTTAAGTTTGACTCCTCTGGGTGATGATATTTTTTTTCCTTCTTGTTTTACCTTTTCTGGGTTTCTTTTATTCTTTGAGCAGTAATTTGTGGGGCGTACAACAAGATATTACTCGTAGCAAGTTAAAAAAAAAAAACGGAATAATTATTTTAATTTAGAAAATAATAAAAATGTGACTATTAAAAAGAAAATGTCTAAAATAACAAACATAACCTTTTTAGAAGTAATGTGAAGTAACCCTTTTTAAAAAATGAGAGAGTAAGTCCGTTCACTTCACTTTATTTTTATTGAACTGAAATTATTTTTATTGAAATAAAATTATTTTTGCTGAACTTAAATTATTTTTGCTGAACTGAAATTAATTTTGTTGAACTGAAATTATTTTTACTGATTAACTAATTATTTTAATAAAGTCACTCAATTAACTGCGCTAAACAACTTCTAAAAAAACTGTTATTTTCTTTTTTTTTTTTTTTTTTTTATACGAAAAGTAACCAGAAATTTTATCAAGCTTCAATAGGCCTTAAATCAGCCTCAACAAGATCATACAAACTACTAGGAATATCTTCAAGCAAAACTCTAAGGCCCTCATAGCTGCTACTTAGTTTCACTAGGCTATGAGCTACTTTGTTTCCATCTCGCTTCACAAAGGAAAAAGAGCAGGAGGAACACAGTAAAACAGAGGTAATAATATATTACCAGGTGCCATTAAAATAAACGATTTTCATCTTGACAGAACCGCTCGTTTGCTGATGGGATACAAAGGAATTGAATATGGTTCGCCTACTCTTGCGTCAGCTATGAGTAAGTATTTATTATAGGCGATTTAATTACACCAAATTTCCATAAATAAAGCAAATAATTACAATCAATTCCAAATTATTAGGATTTCTCCTTTTCTTATTTTTAGTGATTGATTCCAAAGGGGACTAACAAAGTGAAACGGAGGGAGTAATAATGTACTCCCTCCGTCCCATAATATAGTTCTTGTTTGAGTTTTTTCACGGTATTTAAGAAATAGGAGAAGAAGTGGATGAAGTACATTAATAAAGGTGAAAAGTGTTTTAGGTAAAAATACCCGGGCCACGTGGCCTAATCAGAAGGTAACACGTGTCACCCTAGGAGAAGTTCTAAATGAACCTCTACTCAGCTGACACGTGGCACCTAATCAGCAGGGAAAAAGACGGTCTTCAAGGCCCAATTCCCGATAAAGCCGCAAAACAGCGAAGCCCACCAATATAGGTCAAAATGACCTAAGGGCAAATTTACCAATGACACTATAAATAGGGAGATTTACCCCATTTTGGGGACACGTTCATTTATTACACATAATCAATTCTCACGAAAACAGAGAAATCACCAGATCTCGGAATCCAAGAAGATCTAATTTTACTTTCTGCACTTTTACATCACTCCAAACACTTTCTAACTTGATCGTCGGAGGCGGAACTCCGAACACCCGGAGCTTCCGTTGTTTTGCAGGTACAACCGGCGGAAAATCAGTCTTGGTGACGTAACTCTCTCGAGGGGCACAAAAAACCCCGAAACATTTGGCGCCGTCTGTGGGGAGAGTACCTCTAAGATGGTTTCTCAAGACCATGATACAGATCCAAAGGTCGAAACATATACGGCCGCAGATGGATCCCTCATTACCAGGCGCATCCGTTCCAAAGACAACAAAGAACGGGGCGATGCTCAGGCGGGTCCGAGTAAGACCTCCGGCCAGCCCCAGGTGACAGGATATAGTCTGCTCACATCACCCGAGACGAATTCATGAAATTCATGACAAGTTTCAAGGGAGAGATGAAAGACCTGATCCCAAGAGGATGGCTGGTCCTAGCAAGGGTCAGTCAGCCAAGAAGCCCTCTCGCTTTGAGAAGGCTAAATCGATCAAGGATAGAGAGCCTACTCTGCACCCAAAAAAAAGGAGGGGACCCGGCCTTTGATTGATTAGTCCAACTTCCGCTTTCCCTGAGCCGGGGAAGAGGTAGGCCATCCGACAAACACAGCCGAAAAGCAGCGAGAAGACTATCTCTGATGCTCGACTTATTTTCGATCAAAGGAGAAACCAGCAATTGTCTGACTCGACTTCAACGTAAACGTTCCTAGACAGCTTCAAGAATACCTCGATGAGGTATTCTCAATCTGTACAAGAGAGCTTGTCAGGCGGCCTGTTCGTCCATATAGGTCCTCAGATGATAGGCTCGGCCCGTATGTGCCTCAGCAGCCATACAGGTCATTTACCCAGCCTTACCTGCAGCCTGCCCTCTTCGGGGGTCAGGCGGCATATAACGTCCAGCCATTGGACTGGCAGCTCCGTCTGCTAAAATTGGAGAACAACCTTCTGCGTTCTCCAAGCAGATAACCGAGGCGGCACAGCCGGCCGAGGTTAACAATGTCATGGTGGGTATTTATGATGGTACCACCAACCCAGAAGACCACCTATTCATACACCAACCTCATGTACTTGTAGGGGTTGGATGACGCAGCATGGTGCAGGTGTTTCCCAGCCACACCGAAGGGTATTGCCCAGCAGTGGTTCGGCAATTTGCAGGCTAGGTGCATCAACAACTTTAGGACGCTTACGTTCTTGTTCACCTCTAACTTCTCCATGAACATACCCGCCAAAAAGACGAGCCTTGACTTGGGCGCGGTACAACACGGAGACAGGGAGGGGCTCCGCTCATACATCAGGCGGTTCAATCTGGTGAGAATCCAGATCCAAGGAGTGTTTGACGATGTTGCTTACACAGACTTCTTCAAGGGTCTGAAAGACAGGTCGGCTTTCAAGTTCGACCTTGTCCAAAAGAGAATCTCCACTCTTCAAGAAGCGTTGATAGAGGCGGAAGCCTATATAGAGGCGACCGAGCTCTGCTCCACCAGCAAGTAGTCGGACCTAAAGAAGTCCGACAAGAAAAAAGGGAGTCGGAAAGAACAGCCGGCTCACAAAGCTGAAGAAAGTAAGAAGAGAAAAGAAATCTAAGCAGTTGGCGATTCTAATCAGCCATCCCAGAAGAAAAAGAAAGAGTTTAAACCGTACGTCCCTAAGTACGAGTTTAACAAAGACTGCTACTCCATCCTCATGGAGATAAAAGACCGGGTGACTATTGAGAAGCCCGCGGCAATGAAAGGTACGGCCAAAAACCAAAATAAAGACAAATACTGCCACTTCCATGAGGATGTTGGCCGTGACACCAACGACTGTTATAGCCTCAAGCGGTTGTTAGACAGATTGGCTGATAAGGGGGTGTTGAAATCTTACATCCTCAAGTCCAAGGTGACCCTAAAGACGGACCCTAGACGACCGTAAAAAAAGCCAGCGAAGCCTACTAGTAGTTCGGACACCGACAAGGAGCCGATCTACACCATAGCAAGCGGCTTTGCTGGAGGAGGGCCGACAATTAGGGGCACCAAGGACCATGTTAGATGAATGGATTTCAGCTCCGTCGATGAGGGCCAGGCGTCTACCGACACATTCCTGGAGGTCATCATCACTGAAAAGGACCGGGAAAAGTCCGCCGGCCGCATGATGACCCATTGTCATTGAATGCAAGGTGGCCAACCAGAACGTTGGCCGGATCCTCATTGATACCGGTAGCTCGTCTGACATCATCTACAAGTGCCTGTCCAAGCAAAAGTACAAGCCCGACAGCATGCACAAGGTCACGCATCCCTTGGTTGGTTTTGGGGATGGAGTTGTGCACTCAGTCGAACGGATTGATCTACCCATCCGGCTGGGAGAGAAGGGAGAGGGGCGCCACATGGTCGTCCGGTTCTTGGTCGTGGAAGAGCTGACCGCGTATAATCTGATTTTGGGTCATCCGACTCTGAACGAATCCAAGGTTGTCAATATCCCATCCCTTATGCTCCTAAAGTTTGAGAAAGATGATGGTTGTGTTGGCTCCCTGAACGGGGACCATAAGACGGCTCGAGAGTGCTATCTCTCAGACGTCAAGCCTACGGAGGCAGCAGCCGGCCAGGGTGAGAAGCCAATAGACCTTGACAATGTCAAGGAGGAAGATCCTGCACCACCAGCTGCCGGCAAGAAACGAAAGGTCGACCAGCTAGTGGCCATAAAAATAAAAAGAAGCAATAGCACTCACTGACCAGGGAACGGTCAAATGACCTCTGTCCCCAATCGACTGGTGAACATATGGATATCATTCTAGATGACACACGTCCGGAGCGTCTGTAAAGGTTGGGATGGCTGCTTTTGCAAAACTGGGTGCAGACTTGCACCATCTCCTGAAAGAATTCAAGGACATTTTTGCCTTTGAAGTGGAAGAGATGTCAGGCATCAGCCCGGATCTCACTGTCCACAAACTCACTATAGATCCAAAAAAGAAGCATGTTAGGCAAAAGAAATGAAATCACGGCGAGGAAAGATCTCAGGCGGCAGCTGCCGAGGTCAAAAAATTGTTAGACGTCGGGTTCATTCGGCAATGTCACTTCCCAGACTGGGTTGTGAATGTTGTCCTTGTAAAAAAACCGAATGGTACCTGGCGCATGTGTGTTGATTACACTGATCTGAACAAGGCATGTCCGAAGGACAGTTTCCTGCTTCCAAAGATCGACAGTCTGGTCGATTCAACAGCCGGACATGCCTTGATGAGTTTTATGGATGCCTATTCCGGCTTCCATCAGATACCCCTATGGAAAAAAGATCAAGAGAAGATGGAATTTGTCACTGATCAGGGGTTATTCTGCTATACTGTGATGTCGTCTGGCTTGAAGAATGCGCATGCTAATTTCCAACGTATGATTAACTCGGTCTTCATGAATTAGATTGGAAGGAATGTAGAGGCGTACATTGATGACATGATAGTCAAATCTGAGCTACAGACAGACCATCTTGCTGATCTCTGAGAAACCTTCACCACACTCAGGCGGCACAAGGTCCATGCTCAATCCCAAGAAGTGTGTCTTTGGTGTTGAGTCTGGGAAGTTTCTCGGATTTTTGATTGATCAAAGGGGGATAGAGGCCAACCTAGAGACGATAC